GGGGGGGGGGGGGGAGGGGGGACGTGGAGATGCGAAAAATGCACACGGATGAAGAGGTTGAATGGAAAATCGAAGTAGAGAAATTAAAGATGTTCAATAGAAAATATTCTATCGAAAACACAAATTTTTCAACTCATTGTAAGTTATCATTGTAAATTCAGCATCACATTTTCCTTTTTTCCCTCTGGGTCGCCCCCTGGGCGATGGATTAGACTGTTTTATTTTCTTTTCAATTAATCCATCGATAAAATATGCTCCTATCAAAACTTCTCAATAATTTGCCATATTGAGAATAATCTAATGATGAGAATAATCTTATGATGAAAATTATTATTCTCATCAGTACTTCCGACAATAAAACAAAAATAATGAAAAAAATGGTTAACAAAAAAAATTTTTTGCTTGAATTGCGTCAAACGGTTGAAAATCAAATTGAGAACTACTTAAATTATAACTTTTATTTTGCGCATCGCAGGACTGAGTGATAATTGACTTACATTCGTTGTGCAGTCTGTGTATTCGTCACTGTTATCGTAGCAGTCATCGATGTTATTGCAGAATTTCTCCAGGGGAATACAGTTGCCATTTTTGCATCTGAATTCACTGGGGCTGCATTGATTCGGCCGAGGAGTTGTCGACGACTCTGAGACTTCTGAACAGTCTCGCTCGTCGGAGAAGTCACCGCAGTCGTTGTCACCGTTGCAACGGAAAAATGCGGAAACACATCTGCTATTCTTACACTGAAACCATTCTGGAGGCTCGCAATTTTCCGATGCTAATGAGTGACCGGGAAAATGATACAAAATAATTAATTGTGCGATTACTGACGGAATGAAAAAATGAGGGAATTCAATTTATTGTTTATAATTATTTTCTCTTTGTTTACTGAGAAAATTCAGAAATAAAATGAATTAATTATAATGAATTAATTAATTAACTAATTAATTAATTATCATTAATCATTAATTACTCATAATAATGACTCATTATAATTATAATTACCGAGATAATTTCAGTTTTGAGAAATCAAAAAAATATGAAATTCTCAATTCACTGGAAATTTCTAATTTTTCTCTTCAACAAAGTTGGATTTAAAATCAAGAGAAACATTCGGTTTGAAATTCCTCGGTGCTCCCCAAATTGCTTGAATACTCACATATTTCTTGATAACATAAACACAGGAGAACACAGGTAAACACCAAGTTGATCCTTGCCATCGCCTGCGCAATAAGCCGAGGGAGAAATCAGGGATTAAATGTGAATTAAATCAAACTGTGGACTTTATTAGGGGACGGGGTAATGAAATGGGCCTCTTAAATCATTAATATGCTGATAATACGATTAGGATCAATTAAATCTCAATTGAAAAAATTAAAGACATGTTTTCAAAATGAAATAAATGAATAAAATGAAATTAACAAATATATTGAGATATTTTCCACGGTTTAAAAAAAATTTATTCATTTATTTTTATTATTTTTCTATGGAAATCCAGCAGAATTTTCTATCACATTCACTAGGTTTTCCTATGAAATTCCCACGCGCGTAAAATGCCGCGTGATATTAAATATAGGCTAGCGCGATTTTTGAGGGAATTTCACCCACGAATTTCACCCACTGGAAACACTATCGGTTCAATGTCCCACGAGACATTTACGCAATCACTTGTGCTTATTTCCGGGAAAATGAAGCGAATTGAGAAGAAAGAGTTGCAATTAAAGTATTTTTAGATCTAAGGTTTATTATTAGAAGATGTTAATTAGCACATGATGAGAACTAATTTTTTTCAGAATTAATGAATAATTCTCATGTTTTTTTTCAATACTTCTTTAAAAATACGAATTAAAGAAAATTTGAAACGTTTGGATCTATTTTGATAATTTTTGATATTTTGCGTTCATTAAAAATGGAAGAAATCCATTAATAATTGTCGCGGACCAATTTTTGTCCAATTGAAGATCAATTTTTAAAAACAGTCTGGGGAATAAATGAGAAAAATCAATGAATAACGGAAGAAATTGGGGAATTGCAATTTTCTGGATTGAACATTAATAAATTAAATAATTGCATTGAAGCATTGAAGTGAAGTTGTTCAATGATTCATTAAATTTTTCTCTTAAAATCAACCCTTCACAAGAAAATGAATTAATTTTTGGAAATGTAAGTGATGGACGAAATCACTCGGCAACTCACCGATAACGCACGGCAGACGCAAGGGGCTTGCAGGGATTAGACACTTTCTTCTCACTACTCTCTGTTGGATATCCGTCGAGTGACAAGAGAGAATGATGACTGAAGGGAACTCTCGTAAATACCGGACAATGGGCCTTCGAGTTTCGGATGCCAGGGAATATTCAGTATACTCGACCCACTGATTCTGTTGTTAAATAGAGTCATTTATTTTGTCCAATTATTGACCAATCGATAAATTCCCATCAATGGTACGACACGAAGAATTTTTTTTTCTACAAAATTCAAGAAATTTCGTCGGTGATTGAATACTTCTGCTATAAATTCAATGATAATAAATCTTAATTCGCGTTATTTTCACGGAAATTGATACAATTATTCCGCACGCTGTCCTTATGAAGTTTTTTCGTGCGTGAAATTATGTAAAATGAAAAACAGGCAAATAAACCAAGCAAAATGAATGAAATCATAACACTGAATAAAATAAACAGATTGAGCGGATAATGATGAAATAGATACGGAGATGATATAGCTATTGTCAATTAAATATGAATTATGAGTTTGTAATGATCTTGACGTGACAGACTTGTCCTCAATTTAATGAGATCAAAGAACTCAAATAAATTACCATTTTTAATTACAAATTCGACGTTAGTATCTATGAAAAAAAAATGCGTATCATGTTTCGCCCTTGGGGAATCTTCTACCAAAAGTGTTGATGATAGTTCTTATCAGGTTCTCTAATGATCTGACCTTAAATTGAATTTAGAGTCCCGAGGCACGAACCATTGCTATTTGATTCTCATTGAACTCCTACAGACAATTCTATTAGGTTTTGGCCGATTCTATTGAAAAATCCTGCAGCTTTACTGCGCGTTTTTTATAGAAAGACCCGAAAGAAAATATTTTACAGGAAAAATCAGGACAATTTCTTCTTTCTACGCAGCTTTTTCTATTGAGACGTTTCTATACGAATTCCCTGACCTAAATTTTCCAAGGTATTTCGCTCAATTTTTTTTTTGTTTGAAGAATCGAACAGAAAATCAGTCAAACAAATGGTTGAATGAAAATGATTTATATACAGAAATACATGTCACTTACATCCGCTTACATGTGGTATACTTTCCGGCAAAAAATGCAATATCTGAGATATATGCCACCGGATATATTCACGAAATAATTCCGGCAAAATCACTATATTCCACTTATAAGTTTTGGCTTATATTTTTTTCTATGCGGAAAGAGATTTCACGACTCTAAAAATGAAGAGGAGAATATTTTCTTTTATTAAGGAAATAATCTTCGTCAAAATTATTTTTTCTCTCAGTGTAGTTCAGAAGTTGAAGTCGACTATCAGCGCTGACCATCATTAGGTTCCTGAGAGGGCTCGTGAACGGCAAGGGCGGGAGTGGTGGCAGTATCTACTGTGCGCCAAGACCTGTCAGCGCCGGAAGCTGTGGCCACATCGCCTGCAAGCCCCCAGTAAATTCGAGTTATCATTAACCCTCCTGAACTGGCTCAATGAGCAAAGCGCGGCCTTTTCTCGATTTTTTCTTGTTGCATGCAAAATTATGTATGAAAAAATTTGTAAAAATTACAATGCCTAGTTCAAACCCTCTAGAATGAACTGGTAAGATTCATATTCCTTGAAAACCCCATGAATACCATGAAAAATAATAATTTAGTGAGACTGGTACGGAAAAGCGGCGCCTCGCCGCCCGGACCCAGTGGACTCGTGTAGTCGGCTTTAGCCGCGCTGTTGCCACGTCGTTCGTTTCAGTTCAGAGATATTAGGAACGTCAACATCTCTATCTCGTGCCGTGTTTGGCGTCTCATAAAAAACGCGAATTTTTTTTGGAGCATAAATGGTGTTTAATTCGAGGAAAATGTGTGCAGTGTAGATTTTTATTCACGTATACTCCAATGTGGCAACACCGCGCTAACCGTAACACGGGCGGCGCGTTGCTCACCGAGCCAGTGGACTCGGGTGGGCGCGGAACGCCAGTTCAGGAGGTTAATACGAACAACATTAAATCCTCCTCAAGTCCCAAATTATCCACCTAATTAATGTAATACCAATTACCAATGAGCTGCTTGGAGCCATGAGAAATAACAAACAATCCAGGTCCACGATGACTCCTGATCGGAGCAGGCATGCAAGGCCCCTTCCCCACAACCGAGCACCTTTGAAGCACCCCAGAAGGCCCCATCACCCAGTAAAGCGAGTCCCCATAAACATTGATGGTCACAGGCTCCTGGAATTTCTGCCTGAGGAAGACCTCTCGACCCGAGCCATCAAGCTTGGCTCGTTCAACCACCTGAAGCGAAGCGTCGACCCAGTACAACATGGATCGTTCCTGATCAATAGTCATCCCCGAGACGACTCCAACTCCCCCCGCGATATTCACCAAATTTCCTCCAGTCAAATCACTCCTCCAGATCTCGCTGTTGAGTCCATCGGAATCAGTCAAGTTCCTTTGTCCCCAGAAGAGCCAGCCGGCCCTTGGTTCCACCGCGAATGCTGATATAACCCCAGAGTTCCTGGCTTGCACCACCAGAGCAGACTTCGTCTCATTGAAGCTGCAGGATTTGATGGCTTCAGGACTCTCGCCGTCCAAATAATAAACATTATGAGTGATCCAGTCGACAGCGAGGACTCTGGTTCTCCCCCCACTCCCCCCGATTTTATCCTCCTTGGTCAAGAGTTTCAACTCGTGAAATGTCCCAAGAACACCTGAACTCTGTTGCTTGCCAACTCCCTCGGTGGCCTCTGGGCTCGAGCAAATTCGTCTGACATCGTCGTTGGTAGCAGTCGTCAGCCCCACGGAGCCACCAACTGCCTCCTCGACCAAAGGTGGTGAACTGCTCGCATCTTGCCCCAAATCGCAGTCTTTCTCGTCGGAATTGTCTCCACAATCATCGCGATCGTCGCACATCAGCGTTCTCGATACGCATTTGAAGTTCTCACAAGTGAACTCGTCTTGCAAACAGCTGGTGCAATTTTCCTCGTCAGCCCCATTGTAACAGTCGTCAACCCCATCGCACCGTAGAGCTCTGCTGATGCAGGAGTGATCGTAAGAGCATTCGAATTCATCAATCGGACAGGCGGAATCCAGCAGACAAGTCTCTTGGTCTGTGTCAACGATCATTGCTGGTGGGCATCTGCATACACGAGATCCCGGAGCCTCCACCAAACACACGTGGGAGCATCCCCCATTGTTGACTTGGCACCGATGCACCTCCTCCGACGATTGATTCCTAGAGCTCGTAGTCATCAAATGCATAACATCGACATTTTGAATTGCCAAGTTGAATCGCTTCTTTCCGGTGAAGCTCTTCGTCTTGTTCGACCAGAAGATTGTCGTGGAGTTCTGGAGAGTCCAGAAGACCTCATCACCGAGGATTGCCAGGCTCACAGGCTTGTTTAAATGCAAATAGAGTAGCTTTCTGTCTTTCCCATCGAAAGAAACGCTTTCAATTCTCCCTGTCCCCTGATCCGCCAAGAAGATCCTCTCCGTCTCGGCGTCGAAGGCCAGAGCAACTCGTGGACCTCGGAAATTATTCTTCAGAAATCTGCTCCTCTCGCCCCCTGCCATCGACATTCTGTCGATGTGACAACTGGATGTCAGACAGAATGTCACGAACATCGTGGACTTTTCCGGAATAAGTAGAATCGATCTGGGTTCTTCGGAGAAGGGAAAATAGGTCCTCTCCAAAGTCGATAAACTCATTATTTCGATTCTTTTCTGCTGAACATCCGCCGAGTACAAGTTATTCCCGATATAATCGAACGCTACACCGCCGATTATTTTGTCACCTCCGAAGATCCGAGAGATCTCGTCGAACATTATTTGATTGCCATTGCTCAACGAGTTGCGATTGGTGGTTTCGTAGACCTCAGCGAAGTGATGAGATGTTGTGATCCTGTCCCAGTGGGGCCTCCCCAGGATATCATGACGATAATCCAAGAAAGTGCTTCCAGTAGCGATGATCATATGCTGATTGATATTTCTGATCTGCTTGCAACTCTTTCCGTCGTACCCGAGTTCTTTGTCAAGACTGCAGGTGCAAGTGTAGCTCTCGTCAGCAGCTAGCAAGCAGACTTCTTCGCAGCTAGCAGCATTGCAGGGATTATGAAGCTTGGGTTTCAACACAGGATGATGAATGTGGATTCCGTAGATCTCGTTGGCTTCTTGGATAAGAATCTTCTCGTCCTTGCCGGTCAGCTTGTTGCAGTGGCGAATGCTCTTCATCCTCAAGTCACTCCAGAACAACTTCTCATCGAATACAGCGATGGAGAAGGGATGGGTGACGGCTGTATGAAGCACAGTTGTTCGGTCGCTTCCGTCAAGCTTGATGGACTCGACGATCTTGAGTTTTGCGTCAACCCAGTAGAGTCTCGAGTAAGGATAGTCGATGGTGAGACCGTTGGGCCAGCCCAGATGATCGGTTACCATAGAAGACCGAGATCTTCCGTTCATTCCGGCTGTGGAAATGTGGGGTTCATGTCCCCAGTCGCTCCAGTACATCTTCTTGGTCGTCGGATGCAGCGCAAGTCCTCGTGGTTTCTCAGTTTCTTCGGTGATTATTGCTGTACAGTGGGAGCCGGTGCTCGTGCAGACCCCTATTCGCTTGTAAAGACTGTCTGTGAAGTAGATGTTACCGGTTACCCAGTCAACAGCTATCTCTTCGGGGATTCCCACGCCTGCGATCGCGATTACTTCAGCTGCTGTGCCATTGGCAAACGCCCGGAATATACCTTCCTCTTCTCTTTTGACATCTGCCCAGTAGATGTAGGTGGAGTCCAGGGAGACACCACCCACGTGTGTCAGGGTCTTCCTTATCGGGGTGTAAGCTTTGTTCGATGTCAAGTTGAAGCCGTGGATTTCTGTCTTGGTGGAGAAGACTAGGAGGGCGCTTCCTTTCTCTTTGCTCACTCTGCAGGTTCGGCCGTCCGGCTGGAGATCGTAGCCTCGCTCGCAGGAGCAGGTGTAACTTCCCGGTTTGTTCTGGCACTTGTGATCGCAGACTGGAGGACTCTCTGAGCATTCGTTTATGTCTAGGCAGAGGCGGCCCATCGTTAGGCGAAAGCCTTTCTCGCATTTACCGCTTTTTGCGCAGTTACGCTCGTCGGAGCCGTCGTTGCAATCTTTGTCACCATCGCAGACGTATGATTGCTGGATACATCTTCCGTTGCCGCATTCGAAGTGGGGGGCACAAGAGCCGGCAGCTGATGATGAATGAAAAAGAGGATTGACGATATTGTTGGCAAACAGTTGACGTCAGGGGAGGGGAAGGGGGAGGGAAAACATAGCCTTCTGTGACCCATGTCCGTAATAAATGAGGAGTGGGGGGGGGGAGGTTTTTGAGGAGAAGCAGGCCTCGAGGAGAGTAGAGTGCGAATTATGGAATGGTTCCTATTCTAAAAAAAACATACACTTAAAGTCGATAACTATCGATATCTCGCAAGTTTGTCACGCTTATTCCTCATTGGCTCCAGTCGTCTGAGACGGCAAATTTAATTCAGGATTAATTTAATTTTGAGATTTTCAATTATGATTGTTACAATTACAGCGCGCGTTCGGTCTCGTGGGAGAATAAAGGAGAGTCCACTGAACTGTGCGCGATCTCTTTGGGACCGGTCTGTCACAATTCGGATTTTTTATTTTGATTAAATATATACTTACATATGTCGGGTTTAGATAAGGTCAAGAGTAAGCCCGCTAATATCCAGGCGAAGCGTGCCATTTTCTGATGAACAAATAAAAAATTCATCTTCATTATTTTCGTATTGTCTTTATTTTTTAGACTAACGCGTTGATATAGCAAAAAATTATTCTGTCCATTTTCGCTGACAAATCAAATCATCTTTCTGGGGCGCTGGAAAGAGCTAGAAACCTAGGATATACCGTTGAGAAACGAGTTCCTCCTGGCACAATTCCGGAGATAACAATATTTATTTTCTTAATCCTAGAGTCGTCACCAAAAGTGGCTTGACGAGTCTGGCGTGATAACGCGACGGGATGAGTGACATTCTTTCGGTGGCAGACTGCATTTGTCTGGCCACCCTCAGGAAGAAATGAACAGTTTTGTCACAAGAATGTAATGTCCGAAGTCAAATGGGCTTTTCCCTTCTGATCGTTCCACCTCAATTCTCATTTCGAATGGTCATTTTGCACATTATTTTCTCGCATCGAATATCATTCATCGTTTTGTACTATCATGTTTAATGGAATTATATTTCTTCTTTAATCAGTTGTGTGGAATTCCTTGTGAATCCAAAAATTCCATTCGGAAGCAATAAAAAGAATCTTGGCTTACCAATTGGTGAATTCAGTCAAGACGTCGATGAATTTTATTGCCTCCGCACAATCTTTGGCACTCGATATTTAAATACCCGGAGCCAAAAAACAGGAATGGTCACGGGAAACTCATCGTCTTTCCCTTTCAGACTGTCAGGAGTTTTGGTTGCACCGGCGAGATTCCCTTCGGGAGTTATCGGATTGTATCCCCCCACCACTAGTTCCAGACATTTTATGATCCAGAAAAGTTTCTGGAGTTCATCGCCCGAGCAATCTATGTCTATAATAGTCCCTATGTCTGTAATAGAAGAGTATTTTTTTTTAAATTCATCGAAACTATGATGATTTCTATTTTTTGAGATTTTCTCAAAAACTTGTAGCGCTCTGAATCCAATGGCATTCACTTCCTGAGGAAATTTACGATCTCTATAGATCCTCGGAAAGACATTCTGTAGAAAATGTTCTGCAGAAAAAGTCAATAGAATTCGATTTTCCTATAGAATTTCTTCGGCTCAAATTTTATAAGTTTTTCTGTTAAATTTTTTTGATAGAAAGAAAATGTTTGATTTTTTTTTTTTATACACGGAGAGAAATATTCAATAAAAATTACGTATCTTTTCCGTAATTCCGGGGTGAATAGTGGTTGTAGGAAATTTTACGGAACTGTCACGGAATTTTTCCAGAGCGTTCCGTAATTTTTTACAGGAGATTCAGTGAAAAATTACGATACCGTCACTTAAATCTTCTGAGTCGATTCCGTGATCGGTGAGCAAACTGTGAGTTCCGTAATTTTTACTAAACATTTCTCTCCGTGTAGAAAGACAAAAATGTAATAAAAAAAAAATTTGACCCGAAAAAAAAATATTTAAAAAATAACTCAATAGAGTAAGTTGTGCAGAAAACAACTCAAGGCCCAGTGAAGGCTTTTAAATTTCACCGACGTGTCCCCTTAAATCGGCACCCGAGATTGGCTCTTTTCAGCGAAAACAAAACACAACTCGCCACTCTCCCCCCACGCAACTCTCCATAAGCCCCCCAGTGTTTTCCGGTAACTACTCATCCCCGAGCCAAGTGATTTGGAAATTCTCGCAAGTAGTGGAATTAATTGTCGTTGATGGTCTCTGCAAGCACTTGAGAAATGCCGCATTGTCTCATGAAGTCGATCGTGAGGTCCAGGAGACCCCGGGGAGACGCTAGACGTGAGTTGACGTGAAATGAAGGGTAATTGTGACAGGTTCAGTGGCCCAGTGGCTATAAATCAAATCCGGCGTTTTGGGAACTGCGCGTTCATCTCTTTTTTGCAGATCATGAATTCCTGAATGAATTTATTACGAGTCCCTCAACAATAATTGCAATGGTGTCTCCCATAATTGGGAAATTACCTCCGAAACAAGTGGTTATAGGAGAAAATGTCAGAGAAAAATTTTGCAGCCGACTAGATTCCTCATAAAAAATGTCTTATCAAATTTTTGTGTGGAACGTCTTGTTCTCGAGATAATTTTGTCACCAACATATTCATTAAAATTGACTTTTGAAAAATTGAGTATTACATGTGACGGGTTTGATTTTCTTTTCAATTTTTATGATTTCTAAACGAATTTAGCAATTGGCAATTTGATGGAATTAATTCTAATTAACTCTAATTAATTTAATGCAATTAAATCAAATTGATTCGATGCGATTAATTTAAATTAATTTAATGCAATTAAATCAAATTGATCCGATACAATTGATTTTAATTGATTTAATGCAATTCAATGAAATTAATTTGATACAATCAATTCTAATTAATTTAATGCAATTAATTTGTAAATTATTCCAATTCTCGGATATCCCATAGAACCTAAAGGGACTGTTAATGCCCCTGGGGCCTCTAGAAAGCGAGGAAAGGACAAGGGTACCTCCAGAAGTGGTGATAGGTCACTGAGCCCCACTGAATACGATGGATTGTCGATCATGACGAGGTATAACTTCACGAAAAACCACTCGGTGGCCGGTGGAATTGGGCTGGGCTTGGTGGGAGTGGAAGAGAGACCTCGGGAGGACTCTCCCCCTGATGCCCTGGAGGCTGTGCCACCGGGAGGACAGGATGCGATGGAGAGGAGTGCTGGAGCACTCGAGCAGGCCCAGAGGAGGCCTCAAGTGATCGTTTGGGGGCAGAGGCAGGACGTGGAGGTGAGGGAGCGCGTTGGAGGGGCACAGGAGGTTCTCGAGGGGTTCAAGGTACCTCAGGTGCAGGGAGCACAGGTGAGCAATCATTGGGTTCTGGAGAAGTTGCTGGAGTAGAAGTTTTAGATGAATATAAATTCTTTTTTTTTTAATTTTTTCTTTGGGCGGGATTAGCTCGATGAGGAATGGAGTGAGGAGAAAATGTGATAAAATATTATTTGCGGAGAATTTCAAGGGCTACAAAAAGGTCCTTTGGTAATTTTTGGTAGGACTGATGGTTCTCGAGATATCAGAGAATTAGTAAAGACGGTTTATTATTTTTTTTACAATTTGTAAAATGATTGTTTAGATGATTGTTGAATCATTATTTTTAAATGGTTGTTCAATCATTTTGTTGATGAATCATTTTTAACAGAAATGTGAGAGATGATCATTCAATTGATTGGATTATTTAATTTGTTATTTTTTAAATGATTTTTTTTAAATTGCAATTAAGATTTGTTATTTTTTGGTTAATTATCAGAATTTTATTCTGCGGAAGAGATATGTCATGAGATGTATTCTGGAGATTTTTTTCATTATGTTATTGACGATTTTCATTCCTCTCAGAATCCTCAAACTTGGAAAAAGGCAAAAGTTCTACATTTTTGTCCATATTGTCACAAAAGTTTCGATCGCCCTTGGGTGCTGAAGGGACACCTGAGACTCCACACGGGGGAGAGACCATTCGAGTGTCCAGTGTGCAATAAATCATTCGCTGACAGGTACAGTTGGTTATTGAAAAGAAAATTCAATCGAGAAATCACAATACTTCGTAGACCAGAATAATAAACGAGTGATTTTTGTGTTTAAAAAATGTCAAATGCGAAAATTTAAGTCGAGGAAATTTCACAGAAAATATATTATACTAGAATGAATTGTAGAGAAAAATGGAAATTTCATAGAATTCAATAGAATCAGCCAAAAACTAATAGAAAGTTTATTAGAAATCCAATGAAATTGTTTTATACGTGAACTGTTGGATATGTTGTTATTCACGATGTACTGGATTTTCTTCACTGTTTAATGCCCTAGAAATGTAATTTCCGCAGTTGAAGGGTTGATGTGACGGTCCCATGTCTTTTATCGGATTTAATCTGCTCCAGATCAAATTTACGAGCTCATCAGAGGACGCGAAACCACCACGAGTGGCAGTGGCGGTGCGAAGTTTGCTTCAAAGCATTCTCCCAGAGAAGATACCTGGAGCGTCATTGCCCAGAGGCATGTCGTAAATACAGACTATCACAGAAGAGAGAATAAAGTGTAGAGATAAGGAACAAGTTTTTTGAATAAAGAATTTTATGTTGAGTATACTTCTTTACGAACTCTCAATCAAATTTTATTATTGAAAAAATGATGAAAATTTCACTGCATTACGCTTTGCTAACAACATTTGCTCGAGAAATTTTTTTAAACAATTGATTGAACAAGTGCCGATATTTTTTAAATCTTTTCATATTTTTAGAAAAAAAAATCAAATTTTACAAAACAAAACACATTCGCAAATATATTAGGAAGAGGGATGAGGATCAATAATTTGAACATTCGATTTCGTTACAATATATATTTCACTTTTTTTACTTTTTTCAAAGAGTTTTGAGAGTTCTGGATAGCCCGTCACTTGAATCATCAGAATCACCGTTCACTCGGCGAAAAAATTCGATTTTGCCGAAAGTCGACTTTTCCCTCGAAAAAATCCAAGATATGACCTTTGGCCCCAGGTGAAAATTTTTTTTTTATTTTTTACTTTTCCGACATACTGTTGAGAGTTCTGGATAGGCCGTCGCTTGAATAGCCGGAATCAACTTTCACTCGGCGGAAAAATTCGATTTTGCCCAAAGTCGACTTTTCCCCAGAAAAAATCTAAGATATGACCTTTGGCCCCAGGTGAAAAAAAAAATTTTTTATTTTTTATTTTTCCCACATACTGTTGAGAGTTCTGGATAGACCGTCAGTTGAATAGTTGGAATCGACTTTCACTCGGCGGAAAAATTCGATTTTGCCGAAAGTCGACTTTTCTCCTGAAAAAATCCAAGATTTGACCTTTGGGCCCCAGGTGAAAAAAAAATTTTTTTATTTTTTATTTTTCCCACATACTGTTGAGAGTTCTGAATAGCCCGTCGCTTGAATAGCCGGAATGAACTTTCACTCGGCGGAAAAATTCGATTTTGCCGAAAGTCGACTTTTCCCCTGAAAAAATCCAAGATATGACCTTTGGCCCCAGGTGAAAAAAAAATTTTTTTATTTTTTATTTTTCCCACATACTGTTGAGAGTTCTGGATAGCCCATCAGTTGAATAGTTGGAATCGACTTTCACTCAGCGAAAAAATACGATTTTGCCGAAAGTCGACTTTCCTAACCTTTGACCCCAGGTGAAAAATAGTATATTTCGTAACGAGTGCAAAAAACATTTTTTCACGAGTTACGAACAATATTTTTCATCACAATGTGGCGGAAATGGGACTTTTAGGCATGCGGAGCGTGCCACCAGTCGGCAATGTAGAGAAATTTCCGAACCTATCGCTGCCTGATTTAACCTCACGTATGAGTAGTACCTTCAAAATTAATGTCTCCTGTTACCCTGCTCCTTAATTCATAAAAAAATTTCCACGAAATGGGCTGCATTTTTTCAATTCCCTCTACCTCCCAGTTCATCGTCGAGACCCTTCGGCACCGGAACACCTGTTTCAAACTTTCCCGCTCAATACCGAACGCGCCGGAACCGCGCGCATGCGGCCCTCCCCGACGGTTGAACCCCCCACCCTTTCGCCGCGCTGGCCACATCTGTGTACATTTCTCCTGCAATAATCGTCCGGCATTTGACGCAGTGCGTTGCTAATTTCCGAGATAAAAAGCTTGAAAACCCTTGATAAGCGGCACCGAGACCCCTCGAGCGTCCCACGGGCCCCCAAAGTTCTCCAGGAAGTCTCCCAGGCCCAGTCCCACCGCGAGTTTCTCCAAAGACTCGAGAAAAAAGTGCAAACTCCGAGAAAAAAAAACAGGGAAAAAGAGGTTGGAACAATTTCGTTAGGGAGGGAACGCTTGGCGCGTTACGGCGATAGATCGAAACATTGACATTGGGCGGGGGCGGCGGAGAGGGGGCAACGAGGAGAGTTTGTCGGCCATTTTGGCGTGTCAGTGTGTTTCTCGTTACGTTCCCCTGTGGATTTCTGAATACTACGCTCGCTAATCGGCATCGGTGTACATCCTTCACGAGGTAATTACATTGTTTTATCATTCTTGATTAATTAATTGTTTGAATCATTGAGTTTGGACCTGTGATAATCGTTATCACATCATTTTTATCGGTTCTGGGTATTTTTAACTTGTCGTTGGGGAGATGTGGGGAGCTCTCAGTGGTGGGAGATCATTTTTTGGCGCCTGAATAAATTTTTTTCAGCTATTTTCCCTCATCTTTCCTCCACCTCGGGCTATTGTTCACGATTTTTTGGCTTTGGTCGCTCATTTGGGGGAAGGGGAGGGGGGGGGATTTTTTTTTTTTTTTTTTTGAAAAATCGCTCAAGATGTTTTTTTTTTCGTGTCTGGGGGGAAGACCAGTCTACTCGTTGAGATGATTTTTTTTTAGGTTCTTTTGGGAATTTCTTAGGCTTTTCTGGAGTTGTTAATTTTTTTGGAGGGGGTTTTGGGGAGTTTGCGGTTTAATTTACTTTGGCATTCGAGTTTTTGAGATCCAGTTTGGTGTGTAGACAGAAGAGGAGAACAAAGAGAGATTAAAGGTTTGGATTTCAGGTTTTCGAAGAGTTTTCCTGTTTGTTTCGGATTATTTTAAACTTATGATCGATATTTCGGGGATTAAAGTCTGTTCTGGGGCTGTTGTGATGGATTTTCGAAGGAGTTCTGGGACATTTTTGGGATTCTTTTGTGCTGCGGATTAGGGTCATTGTAAGAGGCATTTCGGAATTTATCAAAACAAGTTGAGACGGAATTGTTCGAGAGTTTTAGGCGAAATTGTCGTTGGGGACTGCGAGGTGACCTCGGCTGTTTGTTTTCGTTCGGGGCTTGAGACACTCGTGAGTCGTGATATTCAAGGCAATTTATTCGCTTCGGGTTTTATTCAAACGTGGGCTTCGAAGGTGAAATAATATTTCAGGTCTTTGACGATTAATTTCTGGATTTTCGTGAGAGTTTAGTCCTTCCTTCTTTTTCTTTTTTCCATTCTTTTTTTTTTGTTGATGATAGGTTATGGGTCTTGAGAACTTGGTTTGGATTTTTCTAGTTGGTTTTTTCGATTTTTTTTTAATGGGAAAATCGTGATTTTGTAGGTATTTTATGAGAGAAAAACTTGTTTTTTTTTTCATTTTGGGAATTGGTGAATTTGTGGCACTGACTTTTTTTAAATTTTTTGCTCCAGATTAATAGGATCACTGAACTGTTTTCGAGATGATGACCGAAACGCATATTAATTCCAATCACATGCTGAATTCGGGTCTGACCAGTAAGTCAGACCATGAGAAGATGGACGATGTGGGCTGGAAAGCAAAACTTAAAATTCCACCAAAGGACAAACGCATCAAGACAAGTGTAAGAATATTTCCCATATTTCTAAAAAGCTTTTTTTATTCAACTTTAGTTTACAAAATTTATCAGATTTTTTTCCATTATTATTCATCCTTTTTTGTAATTATTTGCAATATCTTATAGTCAAAATGTTTGAAATTCTTAAATCAATATTATTTACAATTTTTTACTTTTCTTCAACTTGTTTATATTTTTTTCAATTCCTATTTTCATTTTTTTCTCATCGATTTAGTGGATTTTCTGGCCTGAATTTGAGCCAAAATCATTCAACGAAATTGATCAATTGTTCGAAGTATCAAAAAATAGTCAAAAAAATGAATTATTGACATCAATCAATTCTTGATATTCTCCATGATTGATATTTTCAATTTCATTCCATTTTCATTGATTTGTAATTTGCTTTTATGGACAATATTACTCAAAATTCATAATAAATGTTGATTCTCCATAATTGTCTTCACGATATTTAATATTCTTATTTTTTGTCTATTGCAGGATGTCACAGACACACGTGGTAACGATTTCGAAGAATTCTGCTTGAAGCGAGAACTTTTGATGGGAATATTTGAGAAAGGATGGGAGAAACCATCGCCAATTCAAGAAGCCAGTATACCAATTGCCCTGTCTGGTAAAGATATTCTGGCCCGTGCCAAGAACGGTACAGGAAAGACTGGAGCTTACTCAATCCCAGTATTGGAGCAGGTAATTCATTTATTCATTTTATTAATAATAATGATAATTTATTATTTTTATTTTATTAAAATTTGGTATTTTTGTTGCAGGTTGACGCCAAGAGAGACGTTATCCAAGCATTAGTCATAGTGCCTACCAGAGAATTAGCATTGCAGACATCTCAAATCTGTATTGAGCTCGCTAAACACATGGATGTTAAGGTTATGGTGACCACTGGTGGAACTAATCTGCGTGATGACATTATGAGGATTTACCAAAAAGGTAGAATTTTCAATATAATTATCAATCTTCGCCCATTCGAAACCCCATTTATGATAATAAAAATGTTGAAAGAGAATTGAATCTTTCAATTTATTATTTCGCTGATTATTTAATTTAAAAAAATTTCACTTCAAGCGATTATTGCAACACCAAATCAATGGAAATTATTTTGCAATGGCCTTTACGACGACAAGGTTTACAGAAAATAAAAGAAATAAACACATTTTTAATAAACAGATGTAGATTATTTTGCAATGGCCTTCGTAACGACGAGGTTTGCAAAATAATGTTGAGAGAGAATTAAAGAATGCCTCTTGACATTCTTTTTCTATTTTAGTGAATGCTTATAAACAATTAATTGTAAAAAGGAATCAACACTCGTGATTGTTGAAAATTTGCTGTCATTCATTCAATTGATTTCTTTTAAATTTCAGTTCAAGTGATTATTGCAACACCAGGTCGTATTCTCGATCTGATGGACAAAAATGTCGCCAACATGGATCACTGCAGAATTTTGGTACTTGACGAGGCTGACAAACTCCTATCACAAGACTTCAAAGGCATGTTGGATCATGTTATTTCCAGATTACCCCAGGAACGACAGATATTGCTGTATTCAGCCACGTTTCCCCTCACTGTTAAACAATTCATGGAAAAACATTTGAGAGATCCATACGAGATTAACTTGATGGAGGAGTTGACACTTAAGGGTGTCACACAGTACTACGCCTTTGTTCAGGAACGCCAGAAAGTCCACTGCCTCAATACATTATTTTCAAAACTCCAAATAACACAGAGTATTATATTCTGCAACTCAACGCAGCGGGTTGAATTGTTGGCCAAGAAAATCACAGATTTGGGGTATTGCTGCTATTACATTCATGCCAAAATGGCACAAGCACACAGAAATCGTGTGTTCCATGATTTTCGCGCTGGCCTATGCCGAAATTTGGTGAGTTTTATTAATATTTTTTCATTGTACTTTTGTTTCGTTGATTTGGAATTTTTGTTTTGGGGTCAGCAATGGTTCGTACGCAATTTTTATGGCATAATCTGTTAGGGGGGGCTATTGTGGCAATCAAGAGAATTATTTATTGAATTGGAGGTGAAATCATTGGAGGAGTTATTTTTTAAAGTGATTTTATTTTTTTGGAGTTTGTACTCTATAATTTTTCTGGAATTATTTGTTAGGGGACTATAATAGAAATTACAGTGTTAGTGAAGATAATGGTTCTCCTGTGGTAATTAGAATTTTTAGTAATTGAATTGGGGATAGAATTATCGCAGCATGATTTTTTCGTTCTTAAATTTTCATTCCTAGGTCAAAAAATGAATATTTTTACTGCTTGCTTTGAAGAAATAATCATCAAAGGATTTTTTTTGTAACGATTCCGCATTTTTTTCATCAAAAATCATGCGCTGTTGATTTTCATTCCATTTAATTTAAATTTACATCCACTAAAGAATGGATTATCCACAGAAAAAAACGCTAAAATCCATCGTTTCTTTGATTCTGTTAAAAAAAAAACACTAGGTAAGCAGTGACTTGTTCACGCGCGGTATTGACGTCCAGGCTGTGAACGTTGTAATAAACTTTGATTTTCCAAAAATGGCTGAGACCTATCTCCACCGTATCGGTCGCTCTGGCAGATTTGGCCACTTGGGTATTGCCATTAATCTGATAACTTACGAGGATCGTTTCAATCTCCATCGTATTGAGTCTGAGCTTGGTACAGAGATCAAGCCAATTCCCAAAGTGATAGATCCAAGCTTATACGTTGCAAGACCAGACGACAGCAACAGTATGGAGGAAGGTAATGTGTCGAAGTAGTTTGTCTCAACGATTATATCAAGAACATTGAAAAACCAGAATCGCAAATTTTGCATTAAATAAACACCCATAAATACATTAAATTAAAAAACCCTAAAAAATAAAAAAAAATGATGGAAGAAATACAGGAAGAGGAGGAGGAGGAAGTGTTTTTTTTTTCTGGTGACTCGTACATACTATGGCATTAATCCTCGATTACTTCGAACACAAAAACGTGAGATAGTGAAAAAAAAATATAATTAAAATACCAACAAAACTGGAATAAACGTTACTTAAGTCTGATAAAATGTCTCAATGGGGTGTGCGTGCTTGTAGCCAGTGTAAAAAGACAGTTCAAGTGCTAAAAAAGACGTAAAGGAAGACTCAATCAACAAGAAGAAAAATACATGGAGAAATTCATTGAAATTCGCAGCTGTTCACTTCTTCGTTACAAAATGGATGAACAGAGGGATTAATAGAACGAAGATGTGATTTTTTTTTTTGTAAATATTATGGTTAAACCGAGGAGAATCAATCACATCAATTGAAATCGGTTTGATTGAGAGACATTATTTCAAAAAATATAAAAACAAAACGATATGTTTAAATTAATTCGATGAACTCAGTGACTGAAGTGTGAGCGTGTGCCGGTGCGAGTCATTTATTCTCTGTAAATAGACAACAATAACGTTTAAATGTACATAATTGATAATTAATTAGTCAGAGTCAAGCCATTATCAAGAGCACAACGCGTAGAAGGGGATATTCATGGGAGAATTGTTTGAATTGATACAGTGGAAGGGGTTATTCTTATGGAGGAATTTAAAATTGATGGATTTATTGCATTTTATTCGTGTACATACAGCATGAGAACAAATATTGAGGGGGTTTTACTAAGGATGAACGTTTTGATACTGAGGGCCTCGTTCTTTATTAAATTGTGGGATTCAATTCATTTGGGGATGGGGGGGAATTTTTTGAGGGTGGAAGGATGAACCTTAAATGGGGTACTACCTCGGTAACGATGGGGTTGAGGGAAAAATGTCAGAAGATATTTTTTGTGGGGAATTTTCTTATCTACAAAAGAACACTGATGGTATTTTTCACTAAATCCACTCGTTATCGAGATAATTGGGAAATTAGTGAAAGTGTTTTGTTGAATTTGAGGGATTCGCAGGGTTATTTCGTCCAGAAAATTGTGATTTATCTCGGTGATGACGGGTTTTGGGGGGAAATGTTGCGGGACATTTTTTGTGGGAAATTTTCTCAGCTGCAAAAAAGGTTCAGGGGTGTTTTTCCCTAAAACCTGTTGCCATCGAGATAATCAAGAAAATGTGAAGTTTGATTCATCAAGTTTTCTCACTCCTCAAATAATTTGATAAAAACTCTTATTAAGAAGTTCATTTTCTCTTGGCCTGTTCAATTTCATTGGTTCATTTCATCCACAGAGAAAGAAAAATCATAATTTTTTTTCATTAATGAAATCGTTACGTTTTTAACGTTTTCGAATTTATCATACAACTGTAAAATAAACAAAACGTATGTATAGTTTGATTGTGGCTTGATTTTGCAATCTCAATACGGTCATAAATACAACTCTGAAAATCAAATCACGAGAATCCAGAAAAAATTACGACCGAGATAAAAAAAATCTGTTTTTTTTCTTCTTTTTTTCCCATAAAAAAATTCAAAAACTTTTTTGTTTCTCCCTTTTCCCTGTTTATTCCGTGTTTTTTTTTACCTCGAATGTGATTGGAGAAATTTTTTTTAATGGTACTGTGATTGAGAATCAGAGGGTTGTAAAATTGACTAGTTTTATACAATTATTTTTATAACCGATTTGGCTGATGGGCTTCGTGGGCGCTGTGGGGGATCGTAAATACAAAAATAATTAATTATTGAATGATTTTAATTCATAATTAACATGCTGTTACGGTCCATGAAGGAGAGTTAAATTACCCCGGATGTTTTCATGATTTTTTTCACCGATTAATTAACACTCGACGAAATGAAAATTATGAAAAAAAAAGCAAAAAATGAAGAAAATGTGAAAGTATTTGTACAAAACATGGTGCTGTGATGTTTTTCTTCACTATTTCAAGACCCAGTATCAATCATTGTCTCTGTACATGAGTACTTGATCATTAATAATCCTCAGAAGTACTCGAATGATGATTAAAAACAAATTAAACGATTAAAATCAGTGGTGAAGTGGATAATAACGAAAAATAAAAAATCACACTTTCACTAAATCGCGATTATCTCGAAAACTGCTGGGTTTATTGAAAAATGTCGTAAGATATTTTATGTGGGAAATTTGATTCTCTACAAACAGTGTCTGAACATATTTTTTGATAAAACCACTCGTTCACGTAATCATTACGAAAGTACATCCCAGCGTCATTTTTACCCCTTCACTACTGATCAACGCTCATTAAAAATCGAAGAATAATCAATTACGATCCTGCACACCTACGAAACACATATATAACATCACGTATACCTTTTTTTCACTCTACGAAAATCGCAAGAACATAAAACAATTAAAACTAGCGATAAAACCTGAAATATCGTAAATCGACGAAAAACACTCGAAGAGACATTTATTGTAAATGTGAACATGTGAGTGAGGTTTGTGGGTGTGTGAAGTAACCTCCCAATCCTCGAGAAAATTCTTTGTAATATAACCGGGCCAAAAAAACCGATACGAGAGTGGCAGTCGAGCAAATGTGAGAGAAACGCGATAAAAAAAAGGGAAAAATGGTTTTTAAAAAATTCTCTCCACATCCGAAATAATCCTGAGGGCTCCGGCCCTCATTACCGAGCATTAAAAATGATTTTTTAAAAAAATTGTCGAGGGAGAATTGAAAAATTTCCTCGAACTTGACGAGCGAAAAAGAAAAACATGAAAATAACGAAAAACCATTTGCAAATGAATCTCTTTTTTTGACTCAACAATCTTGTGTGAACCGACTGATGAGTGCTGGTAGATCCATGCCACTAAATGTAAATTATAGTCCAACGTATTAATTGCTATTGCAAAGAAAAATGCAACAAAAATATATATTATATATAAATAAAGAAGGAGAACGAAGAATTGTGTCCATCGACTTTTCACTCCAGAGAAGTCTGTAAAGATGAATTAAATGCCCTTCATTCTTTATTTATTCAAATGAGGATTGTGTTCGTTATTATGTTTGTGGTGGAATGAATAGAGCTGAATGAAACAGAATGGAGTTGAATGAAATGGCGAAACACCCGAAAATAACAGAAAGGGGCATTTTTATTCTGGATAAAATGTAGAATAACCGGTGATAATGTTTTCCATTGTGGTTTTTAGGTTTAATTAAATGATTGTGAGGCATGATGATGGATTAATCGTTAGATGATGAGCTTGAAAGATGAAAGAAGTTGTGTTAATAGAGCAGAATGGAAAATAAGTCAACCAAAAGCAGTAACAACTGCAGTTGTAATTGCAGTTTTATCATTTTCATTATTCGATTGATTAGTTTCGTTGGGGGTTACGATTATCTTCGAATTATTATTTCTTACGATCAAAGTGAGTTAGGGTGATTCAGGGCTCGATGGGATCTCGTTAATGTCCGGACTGAATTATTGGAGAAGTCTTGAAATTTCTGTTTTTGGGGTCTTATGGGCTGAATAGTTTCAGTCTCGGGAGATTAATGCACCCATCGAGGAAGGGGGAGGGGTTTTTTTTGGAGAGAACATTGCGGTTGAGGTGATGTCAGATGGTGGAAACGTCTAATAACAGAAAGTTTTTCTGGGGGAAGTGGTAAATTCGAGGGTAACTTGGTAAATAATTGGGTTGGGGGAAAATGTGATGAAATACTTTTTGTTGAGAATTTCAAGTGCTACGAAAAAGGTCTGATAACATTTATCGATAAATTGAGGCGTTATCGAGATAACTGGGGAATAACTAATGAAGGAAATGAAATTTAAATCGAGAGCAGAAAAAAAATTCAGAGATTTTTGCGAATATTTTCGAAATTATTGGGTTTACCGAAAAATATGTCAAGACCATTTTTGGAGCTCTTGAAATTGTCGACGAAAAATGTCGTATGACATTTTTTTTACAGCCGCTATTTACAGAGATATTTGAGGATTAAGGGGGTGAGAATTTTTGGAAGTTTTTTTTCTGGGTTTTTATCACTTCCCTTCGGATTTAAAGTCATCGACTTTAATTCCCAATATTTGGGACAGTGTGTCATTACTTCTGCGCATGTCCACTCGTTACACTTTATATTTTCAACCGTGTAATGTAAACGAATCGATTTATAGAGTGCGGGGGGGGGG